CACCCACACATTTAGCAGCACAGCAAGGATTTCACTCTTATTTCAGGTTACTGAGTGAATCAGATGTTATGAAATGATGTCATCTGTAACTGGCGAGCTTATATTTAACACACCACGTGTCTTAACGGCCCGAACCTGTATTTTGAGTAAAAAGAAGAAGAAAAAAAGAGCCCAAATGCCACGACTGAATTGTGACAATCCAACTTTAAGCTGATCTGAAAAGCCACTGGTTCTTTTTGACAAGCCTGCATCTCCTCGGCACTTAATAGTCAGCGAGTTCATCAGTTCTGAGTCCATAATTAATCAGCCCGAGCGTGTGAGCGGGACTGGTGCCTTTCTCTTAACATCACGTACAGCAACCCACGCCCTCCGGGCCATCAGTGGATTAATGATAAGTGCCTTTGATAGGAGAGCCCCTCACAAAGGCTTTATTAATTAGCCTAACACCGACGCTGTGGCCGCAGTGTGCAACACGTCCCCGCTAATCAAAACTTTAAAGGGGCACGATCGACCTCCCAATCACCCGCACGACATCAAACCCCTGACGCCTGCGTGCATTAAGTTGCCGCTGAAAGTGCACCATTTCCAAATGAGGGGCAACTTTCACACGTCGGTGAAGACACGGTTATGCGCGCTTTACAAAGACGCCCGTGAATCATTGATCAGACAGGTGGGATCGAGTAGTGGCTACGGCATAAATCAGAGGTAAGGAGGGACACTATCCAAAACTGCCCAGATGTCGCCAAAGTGGAAGCAAAAATGAAAACGACGGAGACCAGATGCGTCGTACTCACTCGTCCCCGGTGCCTTAGAGGAGCATCCCGGTCTCTCACGGCCAGCTTTTCAGATGAGTTCTCCTGGGACAGCGCGCCTTGATCCTCACTATCATTCTTTGCAAGGCTTCAGCCTCCTCACAGCCTCCCTTTACTCTTCTTCTTTGGCATTACCAAAGAAAAAAAATACAACGAAGAAAATCAAACCCGTTGCATGCCAAATAAAATTCTCCTTCAGGTGTTGTTTCGGGGTTGCTCTCGTCCGTCTCTCGGTGTGCAGGGCAGAAGTGACAGAAGCGGATTCCTATTTGAGGGGATGCTGACGCGCAACCGGAGGGGTTCGCCTCCTGTCTTTTTCATCTGGCTCCATCAGCAGCCCTCGGTTGGACAGCACCATGTGACTGAAAATAGCGTCAAACACACGCGATGGCACGCTTACTTCCTGTTACCGTACTTCAAAATAAAACACTATATCTAAAGTTTTGGGGAAAGGAAACTGAAGAAGAATCCCATTAATAGTAAAGTAGAAATCACCAAAAAGATAGTAGATTAAATTTAAAAAGAAAAAAAAAAAGAAAAAATTAGAAAAAAAATAGTGAAGGAAAGTATGCCTCTAGCGCTGTTGTCCTTTTAAAATGCCACAAACACTGTCTTTCTCATATCAGATCATTAATAAATATTAACGTAGAATTAAAGCCTGTACTAAGGAAAAGTTATTTTTAATACCACACAACAGTGAGGCCTGTATAGGTTTAAAATTAAGGACAAGATTTGACATGGTCATCTGGGGATTTTGCATGTTTTTCTCTTTATGTCTTTTTAGTTCCTTCTTCATCTTTTCTTGTCTTAAATTGGTCTGAATCGATTGTGGGGCTGATATCTCTCTCTAGCAGTATCTGCTGTTGATTTAGCATAAACTCAAGCTGATTTCTTCTCTGGTTAGGAAAACTTTGTGATTTCCCCTGAAGTCTAACCAGCACGAAATATATTACTTTTATTTTGAAGGGGTTCCTCTTCACCTCTTTTCCGGCTTCAATCTCTATTGACGCACCTGTGAAGGCACCCATTCAATTAAGACTGACCTCACAGAGAGTGCCTCCAAGCGACCGCAGTTAGAGTAACACCGACTTCTCAAAAAATTATCCTGAGGAGAAATATTTCCTTTCCGAAGTATTGTCAGTTATTGACATGTTCCTTATAGCAGCCTCTGTATTCCTTGTTTATCGAGTTCTGAACTTTTTTTAATAGCAAACAAAGAAAAGGAAAAAAATCAGATGGGACTGCGCCCCCATCGTCACATGCACTGTATAACGTTAAACTTTTATGAGCATAGCCTAAATAAAGAAAACATTCATATGCGTGTTGGAAAGCCGGCGGTGGCTGTAATTTGAAGCTGTGTAAGCGTGTTGACAAATCTCCCACAGAGCTGAAGGGAGCAGCTCATTTCGCGTTTGATTTAAAGTTAGGTTGTAATGTATTTCAGTTGCACCACTGCAAAAATATCCGGTGTTGTTTTTGTTAACCCCCCCTAGCTGACATACTCATTTCTGCCTGAATAATGACATCATTTGCGAACCTTTGGTGTGAGCAAACTACTGTTGCAAGAACAATAATTTGGGGGAAATCAAGTCTTTCAGGCTGCTGTAAGTATATGGATTCAATTTCTTTTGCTCTCATGTCTCAGAAATGATGAATTGGCCCTTTGATAAAAGTGAAAAAGACTTCTGTTGAGTGCTGCAGGACAAAATCCTCACTGGTGTGTTTGAGCGCCAAAAACGTGTGAGAAGAGAATCAGTGAGGAAAAAAGAAGGAGAGAAGGAGAAGAAAGAGAAGTAAAAGCGACAGGCTAAGACGCTTTTTCAAAGACAGACAGGCCTTGTCCTTTTGAGATCTTTTCCTATTGTTGTCCACTGTGGGCCAGACTCTTGGGTCTCCTCCACAATGCAGGTCCCCTCAGAGCAGTGCACCACTGGCTCTCCTGTCACTTCACATTAGTGTCTTCATGGAGAACAGCAGCCCCGGAGGGCCACACTTGTCATGAAAGAAGTACTCTGGATACACACCCACCCACTCACACACACACGCATACACACACATTATGCAGACTGTGAAGGTAGGAGGTGTCAGGCAAAATGAGAACACAAGGAGAACCTCCATCAAGGCTTCCAACAGAACTTTTAACAGTGACCTTATTTCAGCCTTGTGCTTGCCTCTCTGTCTCACTCTCTCCCACCCAACCAGCAACCCAAATACACACAAGCACAGATTTATGGCACACGTTCAGAAGCCGTGTTCTCATGAGAAATGCGGCCTAGGAATAAATAAGCTTCACGTATGTCTTGCACTTACAGGCTTGATGTGTAACAGTGAAACATGCCATCTGCTACAGGCAAACAGAGCAATCACTCACACGGAACCAAGCAAACACCTTTATTCAATGAAATATGACAAGATAAATACTATTTAGAATTTGGAATAAAAATGTGAAAGTAACCACCCCTATCCCCCAAAAACAAAAACAACCCAAAACAAAACAGTATCACTTGAATGTTAAGCTTGAACAGTATTTCCTGGCTATAACTAACTCAGGTCCCCGTAACCTTTTGAGCATTAACTGCAATTACTGTCATTCTTCTATTATAATGTATTTGATTGTCTTTAAATAACTTCTAGCTGTTAGTTTACAGGAACCACGTGGATCTTGAGTACATAAGCGAGCACACCATGACAGCTAATGAAGGTGGTGTGATTTGGGGAAAAAATATAAGGCTGACAGTCTGACGCCTGGAAGAATACATTGGCAAAAAATATTTTCATATTTTAGTGATTTGATTTTAATTATTTATTGCCATCGTCACAAATTTTGAATAAAAAGTAATTCATAGTCCAGCTGTACAACATGTAGTAAATGCTCACCTGCTGAGATTATGTAACACGATGCGCCATTGCTTATCTCTCTGAAATAAAAGTACCGGAGCATACGCAAACTGTAAGTCATCACTATTGGGAAACAGGGGCAGGTGGATTGCCAGAACGTTTACTCGGGTTTCAGCTTTTCAGTTTTTCTTTTCTTTTTTCTTTTTTCCATGCCTGATTCGTGCCTGCTCGTCGGCTTCCTCAAATACCCTGAGGTTATTTTTGGCGATGGGAGGGAGGAGCTCCTCCTGGGCCGGCTGGACGCAAGAGGGCAGGGCGGCGCACAGAGGAGGAGAGAGGAGAGGAACAGTACTTTAAAGGGAAAGAGCGCGGGAGTGTGTGATGAAATGAGATGTGAAGTGTTCCCTCACTCAGAGCCTGCAGACACGTAAAAGATTTAAGAAGCTAGTGAGGGGAGAGGTGGGACCTGCCTTCGTGCGCTCCTGCAGAGGGAGAGGTAGACTGAGAGACTTGCTGCTAAGATCCTCTCTCTTTTAAATTATACCGACCACTGGTTGCCTAAAAGGCAAGTGGAGATTCACACAAAAGGTCTGGGGAAGCAGGGCAAGAGGGTTTTGGGGGGGGGGGGGGGGCAAAAGATGCACGTAAAGTGAAAACAGACTGGAAGTTGTGCGTAAATAAACTAAGCTAATTACATCACGGAATTAAAAACATCTTTAAACTGAACCCCTTAAGATTTAGGGAACACACAGGAGCTTAAATAGCTTTAATTATTAGTGAAGAAGCTGTCAAGAGCACCAGTACGATGGTTTATTAAATATGAAAAGAGACGCCTTGACGCAAATAGTAGAAAATTATGTTTTGTGTGATGTAGGTCTTTGTTGAAACTTGCCAGGGTGTGTGTCGACATACAGCCACGAGATGGAGCCAGTTCTCCATCAACTGCAACCTCACAGATAGCAGCAGTGTAACCTGGTATCCGTCCTGACGCTCTAATATACGTCCGAGTTTCTCTAGCGTCATTAATTCACAAATAATACGAAATTCTAAAAACACAAGTGCACTTCTTGACAATTTCCATTGCCCAAATGAGATTAATCTCCATTTCTGCAAATCTAATTGGCTCATTTCTTTTTAATTAGTCCAACAGGGACCGAGTTTTATTCGCCACGATAATAAACTAACCTGTGTTAAAATATTTCGACTTATAAAGCGCGAAATTTATCGACTGCCACAGTCAGAAACAAGTTGACGCCCTCAGTCAGCCCTGTCTCAGCCTCGGTTTTACTACCCCACCACCGCGACCACCTCCCACCCCCTCCTCCCTTTTTTTCTTTTCTTTTCTTTTTTTTTTTTTTTTTTACACACCGGCTTGCAACCACCCTCCCAGTCAGTCACCTCAAGTGCGGCCGAGCGGCTGGAGCGGAGGCAAACAAACACATCCAGAGCATCCGGAGCGACTCTCGTCTATCGTGTTTTGGGCTCAAGTAAAAGAGACCGGGGTGGAAGAGAAGAATGGGACGCCGGTGCTTGGATCAACACTGAGTCCTGCCGGCACACCGAGAGCTCCTCTGACTTTTTCTTTTTCCCCCTCCCAGAGTCACCGTGTTTTCACCGCTGACACAATGGGCTGCTGCAGCGGACGATGCACTCTCATCTTTATTTGCACTTTACAGCTGGTGAGTTGTTCCACACTTCTGCACTTTTTAGCTGTTAGAAGTTGTATTCTACGAGGAAGCCACTGCGTGTTTGACAAAGGAATTAGTTTCCAATACAGTGTCTGTTTTTACATGGGCAGGAGCTCGGCTTCTGTTGGAGGATGCTGAAAACTGATGAGGACATGTTAAATAATTTATTTATTTATTTTTAACTTTAAGTAGGATCCTACTTAAAACAAATCTTCATTCGTCATGTCTACTGAATCCAGTTTGCTTAAACATAGTAGTTCTGGGAATAATCGTGGATTTCTAACTTTTGTGTTTTAGTGAAGAAGTGTTGTGTTGACATGAGTTGTAACAGACAACATGTGGTGTTGTTGGTCCAAAGAACTCAACTTCTCTGAGCACCAGAAGCCTTAAGCAGCTGTACAGAGATATGACAGAGCAAATTTATACTAATCACAATATTATAATTGAGTTCTATCTTCCACCTGCACTAACCATCATTCTAACTAACCATCATCTTTGTATTGGTGTTACTTAAGTGTTCATATAGCCACTTAATGTATTTCACATTTGTGTAGTATAGTTCTCATGTAAAACATTGGCTAATATGTCAGTTTGTGAATTTTGAAATTAATTTCTACGAAATGTGTTTCTTAGAAATTCTAACCAGCTGTAATTTGCGAATTTTTAATAACAAGAGGAGGAAAAAGGTTGTTGAGAGATTTTAGTTTCTGATCAGTGGTGTGTGGGCTGTGACATTTTACTGATGATACGTCTCGGATGATGCTTCCTATTGACTCAGAGGCTAGCTTCCCTTTGCCATTATCCCGAGTGAAGTTTACCTGACAGGCTGTGACAGTGTTATTTATGATGGCATTAAAACTCAGCTTGCTCACACCATAAGCTCCCACGTAAATGCCACTTTCAGAAACGAACACAGCTATAAAATCGTCTCAAGACAAAGAGTGTAATGGGAAAGTTGTGATATATTGCACCACACGGAAGGGAATTCAAAATGGAGCATTTAAAAACAAAAAGGAAGCAAGTATCAGCTGGTGTCAAACTTTAAAAATCCGGATTTAATAACAAAGCCCACAACTTCTAATTTGTAAAGTCTTTTGGCCGTAAAACCAACATTTTACACCAGTTTTTAGGTTTCTGGCTGCTGGGTTGTCTCGCGGTCATACCTTTTAAATACTGCAAGGCTGCTAAGAGCTCAATCGCTCTTTCAGCTCCTAAATATTTGTTTAAGCTCCTGCTATCTTCCTGCTGCTCAGTGTCTTGCTGTTCTTTTGTGTCTCGGACCTGTTCATCACAGTGTGAAGAACGGGGAACTTAGACTTTTTCTTGATAGTTTGCTTATTAGGCCACAGGGGTCTTTGTGTTGCCTCTTGATTAAAATGTGACTCGCTTCACTGGTGACACAAACAATCGTCTCACACTCGCACGAATACAGTAGGCTATCAGCCCACTTTGAACCACACACCTGTTTTTCCTTCACAGTCCTCGGACCTTCTTGCCTCATTAGAGAGAAGGAGGCTGACCATTTGTTATGAGGTTTATAAAGCTGTCAACTAGCTGCCTAAAAAGTCCCCAAAGACTTCTGGAAACAGCTTTATTTTCCCCTGGCAGTATTTCTGGATGACCTGACACTTCCTGTCTGGAGGAACACACACATACACACATACACACACCTGCACATTGACACGTTTAAACTGCAGCGAGGGGTTGTATTAAACCCTGCCTGACCTTTGAAAAGGTCGTCAGGCAGTGTGTGTGTGTCTACGTATGTGTTCACATGAATATACATGTGTATGTAGAGCAGCAAGAGGGACCCTCAATCTCCCCTGGCTGAAACCTATGCATTTAAAATGAGCCAGGTTATTCCCAGTCCATTACGGGGTAAAACTACCATTAACAAAACAACATACTCTGCTCCTCAGATGTAAAAAAAAAAAAAAAGCCCTTGTGAACCGCTGTGTGCTAATTAGCCTGGCAGAGTGCTTTGATCAAACCTCTTTTGGCATCTCGGCCATCCCCTAATTGAATTGTGGTGCGCTTTCCTCATCAACAGGCCGAGTGCTGGGACTGATCTCTCTGGGACAGAAGGCAACAGATAATGAGCCCGTATTGATCGAAAACGCCTCTGTTCCCTCTTCTCTTTGCAGCCTAACTGTTCCAGACAGTAGTGCTGGATGGTTGTCAGAACCCCGATCAGCTCCAGAGAATAGCGAGCGTTGGCAGGAAGCCCCGTCTGTGTAACGATTTGTTTGTACTCAGAGACACCAGGGAGCTCATTTTGTTATCAACCGGTTGGGTTTTTGAGGTGTTGACCTTAACTTGACCTGGAAGTAAAGCACTTCCATTGGTCAGATACAGGACCCAGTCTAGACATATGAATGTCAGCGACTTGCAATGACGAGGAGGTTGTCCTTAATAGAGCTGATGGTTATTGTGGCTCAGCGGAGCTTGATGATAGATGAAGGAGGCCTTTTCAGTGGTCATGGCGGTTTTTCAGGAGAGGGCAGACAGGCCAGCACACAAACGCACACACACACAATCACAGTGGGCAAAGGCAATGAACTTAGAAGTGAACATTGACCCTGACATAACTATTCTGGCTACACTGACAGATGCGTCTCGCAGACACACCCACACAGTCACAGCTGCACATTCTTAACTTTGAGTTATAGGTTATTAGGTCTAGTGGTGGGTAAAGATTAGAGCCTTCGTACGAGTGCAGCTGTGTTTGACCTCTGACGAGACGAGGCAAGCAAAGGAAGAAAATTGAAGCTTTTTTAAAAAATGTATTTATTTATTTTTTAAATTTGATCACATGCAAGGAGAATAAACAATGTCCTTGTTGTCACAGTAGCTGCATAATTTGTGTCTAGGAAGGAAAAAGTCACCCACGGTACAGCGGCACAGGAGAACTGCAAGTTTTACCTCATGTTCACCCTTTAAAGGAGACTACCCACAAGCACCGTGTGAATGTTTGTGTGTTACATCTTGCATCACACTGCCCACTTTTCCTCTAGTCTTTTGATGACAAAGCTGGAGAATATACTCGGTAGAGAAAGCTTCAGAGAAGAAAAGCGAGTTCAACCAAAGTACTTCCAAGAAAGTTTTTTAGCAGAAAAACAGAGCGCCTCGTCCTGAAGAGTGTTATCTCTAAAGGCGCAACATCATCCCTTGGCAAGCTTCACGTCATCTTCTACATATTACAAAGGATTTAGGTTGTGTTTCTCCCCAGTTTCCTCTGCTAACTCATTTGCTTTATGGAGGCACGAACATTCAAATTTCCTGCTGAATATTCATGATCTCAGACATGCTGGATGCCTTTAACATACTGTCTCTCTCTCCTCACTAATCTGTGTGTGCTAGCGGGCACACAACACATGGAAGGTCTTGGCCTGTAGCTTTGATATTGATGTGTCGCACAGCTATAATTAAGAATAATTACTGCAGCTGGAGCAAATTGTGTGGCAATAAAACACTATATGCTGTCAGACCAGCAAACCAGGGTGTGAGGGTTACTGCTGCTGTGTAATCCTTGCCTTGCAAATTTACTGGTGGCGTGATGTTTTGAAAGCTATTTACTACAGAAATATGAGAGCAAGTGCTAGAATATTTTAATTTTCCCAGTTACAGATGCCTCGGACATCTGCTCAGTGGGTTTTGCTAAGTGCATTTGTGTGTAACTTCTTTACAGAGTGCCTGAGTGAACCTGGAGTCGTAGCTGTCTGATCAGTGATAATAAACTGCATTTCTTTGACATTGCCAGGTTGATGGAGGAGATAGGCCGGCAGGAATAAAATGAATGGTCGTAGCTCTTTATCGCTCCACTCCGTTCTCATTGTCTTCACCTCTCTGGTGCTCCTATTATGTTTTATAAAGCTTCTCTGGACTGTGATTTATATCACTGTGGGCACGAGCACATTTTTTACTATTTGTTTTGGCTTGCACAGATGGTGGAGGACTAAGGCAGCACCCGTACTTGAATTATCCATGCAAAAACAAAATGTGTTGTCAGTGTATGTTAGACTCCTCGCAAACTCTGTGTATTCACTGAATACCAATAGCAAAATGACTTCTTGGGTCGGTCTGTGTACACTCTCAGTCAGTCATAGTAATCTCATAGTAATCTAAGGAGCTTGGACAGAAAAGTGACTGGACTTATTTAAGTTTCTCAAAGACGTTGCACCTCTCATGCGATAAGCTTCTTCAGAACTGAAGTCATTGTCATTTTTTCAAGTACTTTACTACAGTATATAGCAAATTTACATCTGCTGTCCCCTGGCAGTTAGATGTTGAAAACAATATAAGTGATCATGCTCTGCCTTAAGCTTAACAAAGAAATGCATCCCTGCCCCCAGTCCACTTCTTGCAAATCTGGTAATGAGCTTGTATAAACTGTCTAAATCTTTAGGGTGTAAATCTTTTTGCCCCTGAGTTTTTCCACTTCTTTGTAAATTCTCTCACATCCACTCCAATGGTTTCAGCAATGTCCCTCCATGAATTTGCTGTCATTTGTGAGTCCTTTTGGTTGATGCAGCATTTATTTTTTTCTTACATTGAGATGATAATTGTTACTCTCTCACTGATAAATTTACAAAATTCAACAAAAAAGTTTCTAGAAATGCATAAGAGTAATTGACAGTACTGTATAGGCCAGTTTCAACAGTTGCAGGCTTCGTCAGCCCTACATGTAGTTACATTTCTGGGGAGGTGCACATCAGGTTATGCTGTAGGTAATCCAGCAAAGAGCTGACACAGAATCTGAAAGATGCAACTGGATTTTCAGTAGATCAAGTGATTATTCTTATGGAAGGGAATTGGGTAGAAGATGCTAAGGTATGCCAAATACTACTTTGTTTTTGTTCCACCATGCAATACCATCTGGAAGGCATCTGTTTGGCAACTACTTCCATTTTTCAGTATGGCAATGATACCAAACACACCGCTAATGCAGAAAAACACACAATTGAACTCTATCTGTCATGGATTAGCCTCAC